ATTGTACTCCCAGCTTCAAAACTCAAATTCAAAGTGTCAAAACACATCCTTTGGGCCCAAAACTTGAGAAAACTTGTCTAAACTTGTAATACGTCAAGGATTAAAGATCATTTTATAAAATCAAGACCTAAAAGCATGTCAATTGTTCAAAATCAAACTTGAAATTATGAAAAAATAACATGCATGTAATGATGTAAATTCAAAGCTTCTAAAACATGAGCAATTGAAGGAATACAAGTGAAACCAAGTCGGATTCTTCAAAGTAAAGTTTCATACACGTGTGAATATTTGGAAATTGAACTCAAGACTTCATGAATTATGCATGCATCTATGAACTAATCCCAAATTCCAGAATCTAAGCTCCCCTTATTTTTCCACGTGTCGAATTGTAATTGACTTGTACAAAATATGTCGCCAACACTATGCAACAAAAATTGAGGCTCTTTCAGTTCTTCTTGCTTCTATAGCTACATATAGTGTGTGGAGATTGTATTGTACACGGCTGTCCCGTTAACGAAGGATTTACGGACAACCAATACAAAAGTGCCACATCAGCCTAAATACTTTATTATTATCTGGTTAGTGGATCCCGTCTTCTCCCCAGTCATACCACTGCCAAACGCCTCTTCTTTTTCCCCGCAAGAACAATTATTCAAAAACCATATAACTGATGATAAGTTGAAGGAGATCTTGTACAGGAAACAAAGAGGGCATTCTATTTTTTCACTTTTTTACTAATATTGCAAACCCATCACAATCTACAAGCAACAATCAATCAGTAATTAGAAATTCCAAGAAATACAATTTGATTTGAAAGATTATAACTGAAAATTGGTGAAAGAGAAAAGGCAGCAACAGCAGCGATCGGTGAGAGAGGGATGGAGATGGAGATGGAGATGGAGATGGAGATGAAGATGGAGATGGAGAAGGAGAAGGAGGGTCCAGTTGATGGTGGTGCTGGGACTGGTGTTGTGTCTCTTCCATTTATAGGAAAACCTTCCAACCCCCCGGGTATAAATTCGAATAAGGGATTAGTGAACCCCCTTGTGCCAGGTATGGCTTCGAACATGGGATTTGGAACCATTCTTATGCCATTTTCTTGTACTGGGCCAGATCCACCAAATTGCATGGCTTCACTGTTAAGTACTGAGGCATTTTGACCTGCTATAGGCCTCGGAATAGGTTCGTACCAAGACTGAGGTGATGGTCTTTCATAGTTCTGATTACTAGTTTGACTATTAGAATGTCTATTAACTTGCATAGGCTGTTTATCTCTAACCAATCTTTGCTGAGGGACATTTAAAACTTCCTCTATGTGTCTTGCGTTTGTTGTTTGGTGATTATTCATTCGATCCAAAAAGGATGTTGCCCACCTTTCCATTGTGTTTATTAACTGCTGTCCCATGGCATCTACTAGGCCACCCCATGGATTTATTGGCTGAGTAGATGGAACAGTGGATGGTCTAATTCCTTGGTCTTGTCCAATATTACGAACATGTGGTACTTATTCTGAAGTGCTAGTCTGTTCGACCATAGGTTCTAATAAAATGGGAGTTTCCACAAGATGTGTTATCACATTATCCTCTGGATT